CTGCTGGGGCGCCACGGGGAGGCGCGCCGGGGGGCGGTGGAGCACGAGCCGAGTGCAGCAGACCTCATTTTCTCTGTTCTCCAGCCTCATTTCGGCTTCTCAGCTCGCCTGGACCCTGTCTCTGGGCTAAGTAGCAACATGAGCGACAACTTAGATGGAAAGGACGACTTTGATGAGCAGTTGCGAATGCAAGAATTGTATGGAGACACGAAGGACGGAGACATCCAGAAAGATCCCGGCGGAGCAACCGGTTCTTTTGGACAGCAGCCAGATGACACCCCCTACGAGTGGGACCTGGACAAGAAGGCTTGGTTCCCCAAGGTAAGAGTGTGTCACTGGTGCCACTGCAGAGCCGGCCCAGCTGGCCAGCCTCGCGGGGCGCTCCTTGTACGTTTTCTTTGGGAAGTCCTGGGTTAGAGCCCCCACGGGTAGTGACGTTTGTTGTTGTGTCCATTGCAGAACCGATATGTAAAAGAACGAAAATCTTTAGGGAGATGTCTTTAAAGTAATTTAATTCTTTTTTCTATGCCTTATTATTTTTTATCCGTGAAGGTCACAATTGGTTATTACTCGGTAACTGCTTTTTATTGCAAAAAGGAGAAATACCAAGAGCAAACTTAGTAGCTGTTACTCTCAGGGAGCCAACGTCACTTATCCTAGGAATTCAAATGTTTAGCTTATATACTATGTGCAAAATGCAGCTTCTTGATTTAAAAAAAAAACTAGTCAGTTATGTCTTTACTTATTGAACTTTATCTGCACCTCTTTACTTTCCTATTAAGTTTTGTCCCTAGACACACAAGCTTGAATCATATAACCACACATATATGACTAGAGGTGCACAGAATATGGATGGAAAAGATCTGTATATATTTGTTTAGAGTACTTGAAAATCGTTAAGTATTTTATTTCAGCTTGGAAGTAAAATAACCGGTGTTAAATTTGATTCTGTAAACTTTTCCATAAAAGTACCATTAATCAAAATCGCATATGGGCAGGAAAAAGGATACCAATAGCACACTAATTGACATTCAAGCCTGTGATAACTGTCTCCATTGTATAATTTGACTGTTACTTTAAAAATCCTTTATTTCAACATATTTCTTCCCCATTTGGTGTTTATATTTTCCATTCCCTCCAAATTGTTAAATTTACTACAGTTGACTCTTGAACAACATGGGTTTGAACGTGTGGGTTCACTTGTACATGGATTTTTTTCCATCTAATAAACAGACGACATAAAGTCACATAACAATAAATACAGTACAGTACTGTAAATATATTTTTCTTAAGATTTTCTTAACACTTTTTTCTTTAACTTTATTGTTAGAATATAGTATATAATGCATGTAATATACAAAATATGCATTAATTGACTGTTACCGGTAAGGCTCTGGTCAACAGTAGGCTATTCGTAGTGAAGTTTTGGGGGAGTCAGAAGTTATATGTAGATTTTCGACTGAACCCCCTGTGTGTTGTTCAAGAGTTCAGCTGGTGCTGGTAGTGCCAGCTCGAGTGCAGATTTGTTTTGTTCAGACTTCTGAGTACTTTTAACAATAGTCTGATAACAGAATAATTTGTGACTCTTATCTTTTTATGTTATGGAGGCCCATACATCTTCAAACTTTGAGTTAAAAATTTTAACCATTCCTCTGTGTCCTAACATTGATTGGTATGAAGATAAAACTGCATTTCTTTCATTGTGCAATTGTGCTTTTTCCCCTAAAGCCAGGAGGGTAGATGTGAGTTGGATTTGTCCTTAATTTGTTATGACACTAAATGATGTGGTTTAATTCATGATAAAGTTAAAACAAGCATTTAGTTTTACTATTGTTAGCCCCATTTTTTATACACCAAAATTCCACTGTGGTTTGATTCATGATAAAGTTAAAACAAGCATTTAATTTTACTATTGTTAGCCTCATTTTTTATACACCAAAATTCCATTATGTGTGTTCTCTGTGTACAGATATTTAAAGTTAATGTACGTATACTTTTGTGCATTTATATAGTTAAAGAAATGTTGATTCTATTGTTAGATTACTAGTTGACTATTGGTTTTTACTTTGTTTTATTATTATCTGGTACTTCTTTTGTTATGTGTACTTGGAGCCTTAGTTAAATAGACTGTGGAGAGGTAGTAACTTATAAATGAAACAACTAGAAAAAATGCCAACATCATTTAAAATGCCTTCTCAGTCTTTTGTGTTGATCATCCAAGTACCCGTGTCTTATTTTCTTAATCATTTTATTCACAATTTTCTATATAAGGTGACTATTCTTGCATTTATTATTTATTACTACAACCGTTATCCACTTCTATATTAAGCTGTATAACCCAATAGACTGTAATTTAGCACAGTATAAACTTTTTACAGAAGGAAATCATTTTTAATTTCTCTGTATGTGTGTGTTGAATTTCTTGTTCAGATCACTGAAGATTTCATCGCTACATATCAGGCCAATTATGGCTTTTCTAATGATGGTGCGTCTAGCTCTACTGCAAGTGTACAAGATGTCAGTGCTAGGCCCATAGAAGAACCTCCACAAAGAAAAACCCCTGAACCTACTGATCCCAAAAAGAGGGGAGAAAAGAGAAAGGCTGATTCAGGCAAGTGGATTTAACTTACAAAACATGAGTATAAAAATTAAAAATGTGTGTGTGTATATATAGTTACTTTTTAGAGAATTTTAATGGCTTCGAAGGAATCATAGAGATGAGTTTTTAAAAATTATATTTGGGTTCATATGTTGGCTCTCACACTAATTTGTTGTGGGCATTGGGTAGGCTGTTTCAGTTGTGTGCCTCAGTTGCTTCCTTTGCAAAATAGAGCTATTATTAGGGGATTATCAGAAGTTCTGTTTGTAAGGTTATTATTTTATACTTTCTAAGTTTAATTAAATTGAACTCAAGTCAGTTTTGCTTCAGCTCGGCCATGTCTAACAGTAGATTGGAGTTAGAAGCAACTTAATGCCAAGGCCTAAAGTCAATGCAAGGATGAGTTTTTTTTTAAAGGTAGTATTAAACCAAGATAAACTAGCTCTTTTTTCAGACAGGGCTCTGAAACTAATTATCTGTTAAAAGATCCAAATACTGTGAAAGCTGGACAATTGTTTGAGTGTGTCTTGTTCTAAGGGTAAGAAAAGTTCCTTGGAAGTCTTGCGAAACTGCCACATTGTCAAGATTTCATAATGTGACTTTTACCTTTTCTTGCATGTGTTTTATGTATTCATTTTGATTTTTAGGATGGTTTCATGTTGAAGAAGACAGAAATACAAATGTATATGTGTCTGGTATGTATACCTTTTTAAACAAATTTAGAGTAGAAAATGTTTGATTTTGATATTTTTTACAAAGTGATTTTCAGTTTCTCTAAAGTCTTTTCATTATTGTCATTTTTTGTTCAGCTGTTTGCATTAGTGAGGAATATGTTTGTTGTTTATTACAAAACTAAGAAAAATTAAATGTATGTAACTTCGTATGCCATCCTTTTTGTCTGCTTTAGGTAACTTATGGCAGTTTGCCCCCTCACTCAGATTCATTGATAAGAGGTCTAGGCAAAGCATTAATTTTAATGTTTGTTTGAATACATGAAAACATGAAATTTCCCCAAATCTATAGATGCAAGATTTTTACATACATTTAGAAAATCAAAATTGTGCTCATCTGAGTTGTAGCTTTCTAATTGATAGAATGCTAAGTAACCCTCACCTTTATTTAGATGCCTTTATAAATTTTTAAAAATTTTTCCTGTTATAGGTTTGCCTCCAGACATTACAGTGGATGAATTTATACAGCTCATGTCCAAGTTTGGCATTATTATGAGAGATCCTCAAACAGAAGAATTTAAGGTCAAACTTTACAAAGATAATCAAGGAAATCTTAAAGGAGATGGACTTTGCTGTTATTTGAAGGTTAGTCATGTGGTCAGATAAGTTTCTCTGATCTCCATTTTTAACTCAGGATGCAGGGCTATAATTTTGTATAAATAATAACTAAGACTGAGAACTATTCAGAACAGGATGTTAAGAAAACTGAAATTTCAGATTGTGCCTTCGCGTATCATATTGGTAAGGTTTTTCACTTGTTCATCTAAGAAAATACAGTATCAGGTCAAAATATTATTTAACTTACGTGACTGAAATGCTTCTTTTGTCTTAAAAGAATTCTCACTGCAAAGATCTCTCAGAGTGTATGCATATGATCAATTCAGAACACATCTTAAAAACCCACAAAGGAAAGAAAGCCAGTGACATTATTCGCCCATTGGAATGAATAAGACCAGAGATCAGCAAACTCTGGCCCACTGCCTGTCTTTGTAAATAAAATTTTTTAGGACACGACTGCATTCATTTACTTACGCATTTGTCTATGACTATTTGTTTCAGCAGTAGAGTTGAGTGGTTGTAGCACAAACCACATGGCCCACAAAACCTAAAATATTTACTAACTGGCTCTCTACAAAAGAAGTTTTCTAGACCCTGAATTAGACCATAAAGGAAATGATTGCTTGTGCTTACTGCTTCAAAATATTTTTTTAGTGGGAGAGAAGAGAGTGGTATTCACAGAAATTTGCTTAACTTTATGCATTCATGGTATCATAAATTACACAGGGAAAGCTCAGTATTAAAGGCAGCCGTCATATCTAGAACACCTATCATCTTAGGAGCAAGTGCTACCCATTATTGCAGAGTGTAAAAGAAATGGGCACAATGATGACATAACCCCTACGTCATGGAATCTGAAAATAATTATAAAGTAAAAAAGAGATAAAAAAATAAAACACAATGGTACTAGCACCACGGGTGTGTTGTGAGTACTTCAGTGAAATCAGAAGTGGGTAGAATTAAGTTGACAGCTTTTGGGGAGAGAAGTTTTTGACCTGGTTCTTGAACATGATGGGAATGGGACATGAGTATGACCGTTATAGGAAGATAGTTATGTAATTTTAAAATGTAAGATCTGAGAGTTTTATAAGTTCTTCAAGGATTATGAAAAATCTGTGCACAGATTCTTAAGGGATTTGATTGGATTTTAAAAGAAAAAAAATGGACTTTTGAGAAACTTTACATGTATAATTTATAACCAATAAAAGTGCAAGATGGAAAAAGTAAATTGAATTCCAGAAGAACATAGTTAATTGTTCCAGGATTCATACTTGATTGCACAGCTCAGTTCAGTTGTCTTTTTGTGTTCTCTTCAAGTCTTTAGATTTTGATTCTAGGACTGACAGCTCTCCCCTTTGTATAGGACCCAGAATCCACAAATGTGTCTAATGTACAAGCTGTCAGATAATCATCTACTTCCCAGTGTATTACAGATCTACATTTTAATTGGTGAACAAAAAAAATGCAAGACCAGCTATGTTATTCCCTGTTCCTTGAATCATCTAGTCTTTTAATAAGGAATATCTTAGAATTTTAAAACTGGAATGCACCCTAGAAATCATGCAAGTTCATTTGTCTTATTCTATATTTGAGAAATTGAGACTCCAAGAAGCAGAACTACTATTCCAATAATATAATTTATTGAACAACTACCATATGCCACTCACTATCTTTTATGTGTGTTATTCCATTTAATTTTGTCAAGAACCCTGCAATGGAGGCATTACTATTCCCATTTTACAGATGAAGAAATTGGGGCTTAAGGATCTTTAAATAACTTGCCCAAGTTCACATAGTTGGTTGGGAGCAGCTATATCTTGAGTGCAGATTTCCTGATATGCATTCTAAAGTTTTTTTTATCCCAAAGTAGGTAGTTATATTTAAATCATTATCGTGCGTATAGTCATCATTCATCCAAAAAATGGCTAAAGTTTCATTTAAGTGTGTACCTTACAATGTGTCGTTTTACCTTTATAAAGAGAGAATCTGTGGATCTCGCATTAAAACTTTTGGATGAAGATGAAATTAGAGGCTACAGATTGCATGTCGAGGTAGCAAAGTTTCAACTGAAGGGGGAATATGATGCCTCAAAGAAGAAGAAGAAGTGCAAGGACTACAAGAAAAAGCTGTCTCTGCAACAAAAGTTGGTGTCCTTTTTTCCTTTTCAAAAGTTTCATATAAACATTCTAGAGTCTGCTTTTGGTGATAGCCACCTAGTTTTGTTCCATCAAATATACCTACAAATTATTTTGAAAGAATTTTATTAGGTCATCAGGAACCTGTAATCTGTACTGTAGGATGATTTGACAGCGGTGGTGTATCATTTTCTGGGGTGTAATACAGCAGAGGCTTAAATGAGATAAGATTGCTCTCTAGAAAATGCTGAACATTAGATTAAATAAGATAGTTTAGGCTCCTATACCAGAGCCATTAATTCATTTTCAGTGTGGATTGAAATCAGCTATAGCAGGAGCTAAATTTTTACATACAAGTTTGTAGTAGGAATTAGAAATAGAAATGATATATTTTATCAGTATACTTACTATGTAGTTGTATATAGTATATACATGTCAGAGTTTCTATTAATCCATTTACTTAATATGTACTTTGAAATATGCCAGTTTTAAGAAATTAGCCAAAATGATAAGTATTTCTGTGAGCATTCTAATAACATTTCTAACACTGCTTAAACTATTGATAAAATGATCATAAAAACATTTAGTTGTGATATCTTATAGTTTGTACAAGAATAGCTAAAATAGATAACCTACAAATTTTATAAACAGTGTCTGTAAAATTTAAGATTGTAACAAAGAATGAGTACTTTTACGCATTTCAATGCAGTTTGTTTGTCATAATCACAAAATGTCTAAAAACCAATACAATCTGAACATATATTTTGTCCTCAAAGTATATAGTCCTAGGTAATTATACATACTAAATAATTAGCAAGTTTTCAGGAATCTCATTGGAATATTTGTAACCAGACAGCAGTTCTGAAAAAATATATATATTCTGGGGATTTCAGATACTGGGTCCATCTTTCACCTGTCCATTATTTTTATTCCAGGAAGTTCTCTGAATGGAACTGTAACTAAAATATACATTGTTGTTTTAGAATAAAATTATCATTATTAAATACTAATAAAGGATTATTTCTACTTTATGGCATTAGGCAGTTGGATTGGAGACCTGAGAGAAGAGCTGGGCCATCCCGAATGCGCCACGAGCGAGTTGTCATCATCAAAAATATGTTTCATCCTATGGATTTTGAGGTGGGAGACAGTGTTCTTACTGATAGAAACATTGCTGTGCCTTCTTTCAAGGGAGCCCAAAGCTTGCTTCCCACCATCTTTGTCATGTCACATCCTACACATTCATGTAGTCATCAGGATAGGAAAATGGCGCCAAGAATCAGTTGAGTTTTCAGATTTTCCCTGATTTAGCCCAGTGTTCTTTTAATCATATTAAACAGGTGAGGCTGTTTAATACCCATCCTGTGGCCCCAAATGGCAACAACTTGGTATGGGAGATCATCAAAAATATATAATCATTAAAAGATATATGGGAACTGCTTGTGGATTTTGAGTACAGTTCAACAAGTATGGATTGATTTTGATGGGGAGGACCAGTTTCACACTTGGAAGTGAAAACTTCACTTTAGTACTAAAAGTTTGGTCCTTAGAACTCCTTAGGTTAATGAAATACAGCCCCCAATGTTTAAATAGTAAAGGTTGTTTTTCAGGACCTAATTTTTGCAAAACTCTGGAGTGGCTATTAGGAGGACTTTATAATATTAATGTCTATGTAAAATTTCAAAAACAGTGAATAAAAGCAAATAAAGGAAGAAGAGCTATTAGAGAGATTTAAGGAATGTTAATTGCCATCAGAGTACCTCGTGTCACATTCTGCCTCTTGTTCTTATCTCTCTTTCTTGGCACAGACCAATGAGATTATTCATGGAAGGACAGTTCTTTATTATCTGCCCGGATTCTGAAATTAATGATAAGTTACATATAAGAAAAAATGTTCGTAATGTAAAATTCCAGGTTTACAAATGATCTGGTTGAAACCAAAGTCCAATCTTGTTCCTTTTGTGCATTTAGAGTCAGAATGGCAATATCATTTTATCCTCCTTAGAGACTAGGGCCCCCAAATGATCTGCCAAATGGGCATATAGTGATGTGATAGGGTTTACTGTGCAGCTATGACATCTGTGTATCTTTTGAGGTCATTTGAAAGATAAACGTGGTATATTTATGATGTTTGATATCACTTCTGAGTAAAATCCTGAAGAATCTTGAAATATATTAGAGCTGCTTTAGACTCGAAGTGATAATGGAGTATGTTGGAAAAGCACACATATACACATGCATACTAGATGCTTTTTGAAACGTTATCTTTGCCAGGTGGGGCTTTGAAAGGAATGTGTAGATGGATCATGGTATCTAGTCTGCCAGGTACAACTCCAGAATTGCCTACGATTCATCACATTTTGTCCTCCTGGTAAATGATTGGTTTTATTAGGTGTTCTATTGATGTCTATGACTTGAGATCCTTGATTCACACATTCCATTCTAACAGTTGAATGTGAATATAAATGCAAACTTAAAATATCTGGAACCTCTGCAAGTAGAAGTCTGTTGTGTAATTACTTCTCTTTGTTTTTTGCCTCATGCCTTACTCAATGAGACACCTTATTTGAGTCTAGCTATCACCCTGGGCATACTTATGTCTTCCTAGCTTAACAAATATTCTTTCCTCCAAAAAGCTACATTTATTCTACCTTGACTCGTAGAAATGCCCTCCAGTGGATATGTTTAAGGATAGAAGTTTCATGCTTGTAAATTCTTGACTGTTAAAAACTGGTATTCATTTAGTATAAATAGAGCCTTTGTATTACTCTTCTTTGTTTCCTTCATAGCATTTATTATTATCTGAAATAATTAGATCTCCCGTACTAGAATATGAGCTCCATGAGAACCAGCACTCTGTCTGCCTCTTTGCTGCTGTTATATTGCCCATGTTTAGAACTATACCTGGCACATAGTAGGCCCTCAATATTTATATGAAGAAAAAGTGAAAAAAAAATGATTGGATGAAAACCTTGTTACTCACAAGACAGTCTTTCCGTTTGCCCAATGGATAAAACATTTTCTCTTTAGCATCTTTGCAGATGAAGGAAAGTTCTTTTCAGATGCTTATGCCACCAAGGCTGGGAGGTCAGTAATGGGCTTCAGAGTTCACAGACAGAAAAATCCTTGTTTGCCCACCTGCCTGGTCTGGTGTCTGCTGAGCTCGATGAGAGCCTGTCAGTCAGAGGGACAACAGACAATCTTGTTTTTTATTCAGTGTCTCTATGGGCCTGAATCTCAGAGTGTATCAGTATAGACCTGTTCCATGTAGTTGACTCTAGCCTTGTGTGGATGTTTAAATTTAAATTAATTAAAATGAAATAAAACTGAAAATTCAATTCCTCGGTTGCACTGGCTACATGTGGCTAACAGGTGCCGTATTGGATAATGCAGATATTCATTTCTATCACCACAGGAATGACTTGACTGAAGATTCCATATTCAGCTAAAGAACAGAGATAAACATTGAGCTTTGTAGTGAAAACAAAAACAATTCTCAGGTTACACAGGGTGTCGGAAAGAAATCAGATTTTGGAGGATGGAATATATTTTTATTCCAAACAGGTGACTAATGTTGGAAGCAAAATACCTAAAAATACTCTTTCCTATCAGGGTGAACAATGTAAAGGCTAATATTTTTAATGTAACTTCAGAGGATTTTCAGTATTCAGAGCCTTATTTAAAAATGCATGCCTGGCAAATTTGAATACCAAGAGATGAATCAAAACTCATATGCAAAGATAGGTTTCTCATTATGTATACCATCACTGTCCAGTAGAAATATAATGTGAACCACATGTTTAATTTAAAATTTTTTTAGTAGCTACAGTAAAATATAACAAGAGGGGAAATTTTAATAATGAATTTTATTTAACCCAATATATCCAAAATAATATAATTTCCATATTACCAAAAATATCGATGAGCTATGTTACGTTGTTTTTTTTTTCTCCCTTTGATACTAAATCTTCAAAATGTGGTGTTTATTTCACACTTGCATCACACCTCAATTTGGAGTAGCCACATTTCAAGTGCTCAGTAACCACATCATGTGGTTAGTGGACATTGTGTAATTTTAGACTAGAAAGGAAGGAGAAAGGTGGTTTATTTCTCCCTAGGTAAACATGGGCATTGACTACAGATGATTTCAATACATCAGTCTGATTTTAGTCTCAAGTCTTTTGGTTGCAAAATGTTGTCTTTAGAAAATTTCCATGCTTAGCTACATTAAAGAGTTTTCTTAGAGGAGGGCATTATTATCTTTAAGCTTCAGGATACTGTAAAGCAGTGAAGATACATTAATTATTTTCAAACTGGTATAAATCTAAATGGAGGTCTAGGAAGACTGGCTAAAATTTGATATCCTTCTAGGGAAAGCACTGAGACTTCTTGATATAGAAATAAAGAAGGTGCTCCCCTCCCCCCACCATGGACTCACACTTTGTTAAATATTTTGAAACAATTTTTGTTTATTTTTAATATAATCTTGATTTCCCTTGGTAATAAAATAAAGGTATGAGGAATAGTTTATCAAACTTTGAAAAAGCTTTTAGTGACTTTCAGTATATGTAAAAAGACTGTGCTTTATTCTGGGAGGTGTATGAAACTCATTCAAACAAGATTCCTGCCTTCAAAAAGCACATAATCTGATAGGGGCTCACGATACACACACACACAACGAAAAGCCACCACATGACTTTGCCTAATGACTTTTTGATCCATTCCCCAGTCCTTTCAGGTCTGATAATTATATATTAAACAAATGGGCATCTTCTCCAAAATTAGATTTTATAAGTGATAGCGTCCTACCAGCTGTAGTTTTAGAAGCCTCAGATTTATAGGGTATTTTTTATTTTAAATTTGATTCCAGTAACTGCCTACTTTTAATAACAAATAAACCATTTTTGCTTTTCGAGAGAACTTTAGGAGGGAAAAGCCACCTTTTGTAGTCTTTTGCAGTTCTTCTTTAGTTGATGAGGAAGATAAAAATCTGAGATAGATGAATTTAATGTTTCCTAAAAATTGTAAGTCTGCTTCAATAGAAATTTGTAGATAGGGTATCCTTGGTTATATTCTCATATAGTTGTAATTCAAGTTGATAATGTAACTTTATGAGCCTTCATGCATTGGGACTTGGAGGAAGATTTGTTAATTCCCACAGGAAATCTTAAACCTTTTGTTGGGGGAGGGGGCATGGAGTTTGGAGTCCACCTGACCTCAAGCACCAGTATTTGAGTGTTCTTAATAGATTTGTAGTTGCAAGAAAGCAACAGCTAAGAACGTGAGGTTTGTTTGTTTGTTTGTTCGTTCGTTGTTTGTTTTAGAATGTGTTTTATTGTGTGCTTAATAACAGCTCCTGATTTGCATGGTTCTGTTGCATTGTGGTAGGAGACCAGATAAACAGGAATCCTTATAAGGGAGGTTTACCCCATGAGTTAAAATAGAATCATGGAAGCTCAAAGAACAATCTTACAATACTTGGTCAATGGAAAGAATATGTCTCTCTCCATTATACCATTTCTTAAATAGGAATCTATGCAAAACACAAAGCAAAGGGCTCTCATTGTCACAGTTATTATGCTCATGCAGCACAAAGGAATTAGTAATCTCTGGCTTAGTATGTGGCACAGGACTTCTTCCCTTACATCTGCTGTTATTTGGGCAGTCCTACTTCCCATCCCACTCCTCTGCCATTGCATGCTTGAGCTGCTGCCTACCGTGCTTGTCCATTTCCTCCATCTTAAAGGCAGGGCAGACCCATAATAGCAGCAGCCATGGAAGTTTAACTTCATTTGATTTTTTTTTTAATTTTGTAGACTGAAGACAAATGTAACTAACTTTAAGCAAAACCTTTTTTATTGGTTGGTTTGTCAAAGCAAGAAATTTGATTTTCAGGATTTGTACTTAAAGGGGCAAACCTGTTTGAATCATGTGTCTTTTTGTAGGATGATCCGTTGGTGCTGAATGAGATCAGAGAAGACCTTCGAGTAGAGTGTTCAAAGTTTGGACAAATTAGGAAGCTCCTTCTCTTTGATGTAAGTTCATGGCTTGAACAAATGATTTCTGAAGCAGTCATTCGTCCAGTTAAAAGTTATTATCAGATGTCAGTGTGCCCCAAATTTTAGATTAATGTTTTTATATAGTAGGTCTACTATCTAGTGGTAGTCATCTGTTAGCAATAATTAGATGAACACGGATTATAAGTCAAAGCTTTGATAGACTTGGTATGCTGCGTTTATTTCCTTTTATCATTACTCTAGAGCATCTGATCCAATAAAGTACAAGAAAAACATATGAGACCTATGGTTCCCTGTTTGCTCACATTTTCCCCTCTTGAATGATTCTCCTCCGTATTTGGAGAACAATCAAAAATATTCTGGTGTATGTTCCCCTCCTCACCCTTTTTTTACTTCTAAAATTGACCTGTGATAATCACTTAAAAGAGTCATCGTTTATCGATTGAGTACTAGAAGTTACTTTACATGTTATCTCATTTAATTCCCACAGTCCTTAGAGATAGGTAGGTGCTATTATACTCATTTTACAGATGAGAAAGCTGAAATTTTGAGATCAAGCACCTTGCCCAAGGTCTTTCAACTGCTAAGTGGTAGATCCAGGATTGAATCCCAAGGCTATTTGACTTTAGAGTCCACATGTAACAACTATACTGTCTTACCTCTCCTAGATAGTGTTATCAGCAGAAACGTTTCCAAGGACATTATGCTTGGTTCTTGCTGGAAAAGATGAAGCTGAAGAAGCAGCTAGTTGTGTGTCTCTGCCTGGAGTAAAAGAGAAGAAAGACTTCATACATAGAACCTTTTATCTCAAATTATCAGAAAGAACAGTCCTACTTAACTACTTTGTCAAATGTGTATGTTTTATTTTGAATTTTCTCATTTATTCTTTTTTTTTTCTTCCTATCTTTCTAGAGACACCCAGATGGTGTGGCCTCTGTATCCTTCAGAGATCCAGAGGAAGCCGATTATTGCATTCAAACCCTTGATGGACGGTGGTTTGGTGGCCGTCAAATTACTGCCCAAGTGTGGGATGGGACTACAGATTATCAGGTAAATTCTGCAACTATCAAGGGCACATAAATTGTTTTGTTACCAACAAGTACTGATCGAGCAGTCCTTCAGATAAGTTTCGGATTTGGTTTAATCTGTGTAATATAATAGTAACACTTTTAAATAATACTTTGCATTCAGAGCATAGAAAGAAAAATGTTTCAGTCTTTCAGTTTATAAATCTGAAATGTGAGGCTTGCTCAAAATAGTGATAAGAAAAGAACCCATTAAACCAAAATGTTTATCTTCTTTTTGTGTTATAAAGTACAGGCAGAGTTCAAATATTAACTTTTTAATTGATGAGACATTTCTGCAAAACTGTGGTGTTGGGCATTTATGTAAATGATCATAAGGTCAATTCTAGTAAATCAAGATATAAAGGTTTGAAAACTGAAGATAGAAAATTGCTTTGATTTCCTAAGAAGCTGTGCCTTATGAAATCAGGGTACTTTTGTCAATATTATAAGTGCTCAGAGACATTGTTACTTCTCTTTGCCTAAAACTTATTTTAATGGAAGTTTACATTTATGCACAGGTGGAAGAGACCACTAGAGAAAGAGAGGAAAGGCTGAAAGGATGGGAGGCATTCCTCAATGCTCCCGAGGCCAATAAAGGTCTTCGGCGTTCAAATTCCATCTGTGCTTCAGAAAGGGCAGGGCCTTCTAGAATAAGGCATTTTTCCGAGCACCCTAGCACATCTAAAATGATTGCTCAAGAAGCTGCAACTGGAATGGCATTTGAAGAACCCATAGATGAAAATAAGTTCGAAAAAACAGAAGATGAGGGAGCATTTGAAGGAGATACTTCTGAAAAAGAGGCTAAAGAAGGTGGCCCCGAAAAAGAAGTTAAAGAAGCTGGTCCGTGGAAAGAATCTGAAGAAGGCTGCCTTGAAAGAAAGTCTGAGGAAGGCTGCCCCAAAAGAGAGTGTAAAGAAGACTACCCCAAAGTAGAGTCTGGAGAAGGCAATCCCAAAAAAGAGTTTGAAGAAGGTAGTCCTAAAAAAGAGTCTAAAGAGAACAGCCCCGAAAGAGAATCCAAAAAGAAGAAACTCAAAAATGTTTATGAAGAGAATGGCCTTGAAAAGGAGTCTGAAGAAGGTGGCCCCAACAAAGAGTCTGGAGAGGAAGATGGCCCCCAGAAGGAGTCTGAAGAGGATGGCTCGGAGAGAGAATCTGAAGAAGACTGCTTTGAAAAGCAGTTTGAAGATGGCTCTGAAAAAGAATTTGAAGAAAATGGCCTCAAAAAAGAGTTTGATGAGGAGTTTAATGAAAACGTTCTCGAAAAAGGAGAAAATTACTCTGAAAAATCAGAATTTGAAGATGACAGCTTTGGAAAAGTGTTTGATGAAGGCTCTGAGAGAGAATTTGACGAAGGGTCAGATGGAAAGGAAGGAGAGGAAGATACATATGAAAAAATTTTTGATGATGAGTCTGATGAAAAAGAGGATGAAGAAGATGCAGATGAAAAGGAGCTTGAAGATGCTGATGAAAAGGAGGAAGATGATGATGCAGACGAAAAGATGTTTGAAGATTCAGACGAAAAAGAAGGTGAAGTAGATGTAAAGGAAGATGAAGATATTGATGAAAAGATGTTCGAAGATGATGAGTCCAATGAGAAGTTGTTTGAAGAGAATTCCAGTGAGAAGTTATTTGATGATTCTGACGAGAAAGGAACTGTGGGTGTTACAGGGAATGTTCAGGAAGAAGAGCCCCAGTCCACAGGCAGCAGCTTTGTCCTCAGTACTGATGATGACAACGACGACGACGACGACGACGACGATGACGACGATGATGTTGATGATGATGATGACGATGATGATGATGATGATGATATTTAATCCCTTAAGCTTGCTTTTGAGGGCAGTTCCTCCATCTACATTTGCCTATGCTCCAGGATAATTACTACTAGTAGTGTTACACAAATGTGCATAATGGTAGGATATCATCAGATTCATGCATTGATGTTTTCATTGTTAATTGTACTTAATGGTTTTAAATATGTGTTAATTAGCTGTTTAGTTAAAACTTCATAGTGTAATGCAAGTAAACTGGATACTCAGCCCTTGTCAGATTTGTTAAATGCATGCAGAATAATATTTTTTAAAGTATTCTGATTGAAATTTGTGATATTCAGAAATAAAAGTAAGTTGTTAAATGCAGAAACTGAAAATTGGACTTGAGTTAAATTGGATTTTAAATTCTTACTGTTGCTTTATTCATACTTACATTTAATTTTTTAAGGATTTGAAAAATTCTGTAGGAGGCTCCTTGCTTTCAGCGTATGTTACCAGTTAAGTCCCCATTTCCCCTTTCTAAACCAAGAACATGTTACTAAACTTAAAAGATTAACAGCACTTTGAAGTTTTTTCCCTGCCCAGTCCTTTCAAATTACTTTCATTTTTCTTTTCTACTCTCTTTCCATGAAAATTGACGATTAGATATGTAAGAGTGAACTTCCCGATGTCCACTGCTTTTATGACTGAAAACATAGAGAAGATTAGAATTCTACTGTGTACTATTTGGGCTCCTTTAGAACTTGATTAGGGTTGTAGGACCTCTCCCCAGAATAGAACGCACACTACACAACTTTTTGTATACAATTTTGGGAGGTTCGTGCATCCCTTGGAGTTTGAGAACATCTTTTGTTATGCATACTTCAGTTTTGTGTTTTTGTTTTTGTTCTAGAATCGTGCCTAGTACTGTGCTAAATTGTGTAGTCCCAGTAAAATTTTGGGTCTTTCTTGCTTGTGCTTTCCAAATTCAGTATTAATTGACTTCTGATGTAGCTTTAAGAAGTTACTCTCATAAGTTAGAAACATCAAAATAAACTGCATTGATGCTTTTTCATTATATCGTCTGTAAGTGTAATCATTACCCTCTTTAGACAGAAAAGAGTTCTTGTACTTCAAGCCAGCTTTCTGAGAATTTTTTAGTTGATGTCTGGGATTTCTTAAAATCTTCAGGATTTTTCACCAGGGATAAATCAGAGTCAAAGAAAGTTAAATAGAAAAATTGCAAACCAAAATAGGGTTTCCTTCAAAGAAAAGCCAGAAGCACTTAAACATTAAATTTAGTGCAAAATTGTTTTTTTCTAAATGAAAGGAAAAGAAAGCTTTATCTTCCGTATAAAATGGTTAAGACATATAACTACAAGTTTTAAATGAGCTCTAAGACCTTTAGAAGGAGGTGGTTTTCATTCTGACTTCCCTGTTCATTAACTTGTTTGATAAACACTGATGTTCTTTTCATATAAATACCCTGGAAGTGAAAGTAACAGTTGTAAATTGTTAAATAATTTGTGAGGTGATATTGATAAACAAATTAAGAGTCACGAAGTATACACAACACACACAGTCACCTGTGTTCTAAGTAATCAAGTTTTATTGGTTCTGAAAATTTATTGTGAAGCAAATGTGCACAGCAATGTTCAACAATTGCTTGGCATTTTCCAAATGTAAGGCTCCTTAAGATTATATAATTTGTGTTTCAAATAATGTTTCCAACCCGAATGCATAAACCAGAAGTGGCTTCAGGGATTCTTTTGAAAGACTTGAATATCCTGCTCTCTGAGTCTACAAGTTCCTTGTATAGGAACAAACTTGAAACTTTGTTAGATAAGAATAATACTCATCTTGCCAATATTAATGAAATATTTGAAATCGTTACTGCTTTCTACAAAAGAAACCTGACAGCAAAATTGGAGTGATTCGTTCCAAGGATGTTTTCCTCCTCAAGTAATGATGGCTCTGGGCTCTTTCTGAAGCCTGGAGTTGCCAAATCTGGTCCATTTGAGTCACTACCTCTTCCTTTTTGGAGTGGAATCTATTTTCCTGATATAAACTATCTGGAGATTCTGAGGCTTGGGAAAAAGGTAGGAGTTAGCTGATTTTCTGAATATGCCTTTCTCAAATAACATGGATCTTATTTTTATTTGTTCACTGTACTTAAGAGCTTTATTATGTCGTTGGTTGCTCACAACCACCTTGTGAGGTGAGAGGTGGATCTCAAAAGCTGCGTTTTGCAGACAAGGACACTGAGCAGCTATTGCAGGCCTTCCCCAGGCTATGGGGGAATAGAGGCTGACCCAATCCCGGAGGGGCTTCAGTCCTTGAGGAAAGAGCCCAGGACAAAGAATGCAGGACTGTTGAAGCACGAGGGAGTGGCAGCTCAGTACCCGCTCTCGTGGGGAGTAGTGAGGGCTGGAGATCCCATCCCGGAAGAGCTGGGCTTTGAAAGGTGGGCAGGAGTGAGGTAGAAACGTGGGGAAGTTGCTGATGGGGTTGGGGACCAGACAGGCCTCATCCTCTGCCCTCTACCGTCCCCACCATCTCCCAGGGCCCTGAGTAAGCTCCCAGAGGACACTTAGAGATTTAAGTGCCTCACCCCATGTGACTTTTTTATTGTGAATATACATAAAATTTATCATTTTAACTTAAGTATCCAATTCCTCCTGCTGTAGCCGAGTATACCAAAGTCTTGTCAATATCATGTTTGTCTGACCAAGTGATGCTAGAAAGAACTCAGAAAATAAAGAGATGATTTCTGAAGGGTCCAGTGTGATACTATTGTTCACAAAGGTACAGGAGGGTTAGGGAAAAATGCCCCTTGACACCACCAGTGGGAGTTTTTGTTTAAATGTGATAAAACATACATACATAATTTGTTAAAATTTATCATTTTAAGTATTGTTATGTGTACAATTAGTGGCATTAAGTACATTCATATTGTTGTACACCAACACTACCATCTATCTCCAGAACTTTTTCATCATCCCAAATCAAAACTCTACTTATTCAACAATAATTCCCCATTCCTCTTTACCCCTTGCCCACAACCACCCTTCTGTTTTCTGTTTCTGAATTTGACTATAGCTACCTCACACGAGCAGAATCCTACAGTATTTGTCCTTTTGTGACTAGCTTATTTCACCTAGCGAAATGTCCTCAAGTTTCTGAATTTTATTTTTTTTAAAGTAAACCAAACATTTCAATGTAATGCCGAGAAGTGCTCTTAATTAGTTTGAACAAAGCCATGGCTTGGAGAACAGTAGAAGGCTTACAGACTGGCCATTTGAATATTTGTCAATAGCTTTTTTTTTTCCTAATTAGGCCTCTCAGATACAAACTGCATGCCTCTTTTTGTTTTTAAGACAGTCACTTCATTTAAAATGTTTGCTCAAATTTTGCCTCTTATCACCTCATTTACATGATCAGCTTTGCTCACATTTCTATGTAAAATACTAACTAAAAAATGTTAATGGATGAAAAAGGGGAAGGGATTAAGTACAAATTGGCAGGGGGATGTAAAGTATAGCACAGGGAATGTAGTCAGTAGTATTGTAATAATTGCATGGTTGGCAGATGGGCACTAGACTTATCAGGACGATCATAAGTTATATAAATGTCCAATCACTGTTGGATACCCGAAATTAATATTGTATGTCAACTGTAATTGAAAATTTTGAAAAACTAAACGTTAAAATGTTTCCTTCCTAAAATCACAAGTCTATATTGCAAATAGTCTAAATTCATGGATAACAATTATCACAGGGATGAATTACTTGAAAAAACTACTTCATATTTTAAAGTTTAGTTTTAGGTGTTCAGAGTCCTACAGATAAGTTCGATTTTTCATTTGGAACCAAAAGGATACTGATGTTATTGTATGTCAGATGTGTTACTCTCAAATAGAAAGCATAAGCAAGTTTTGTGTTTATAGTTTGGTTATCCATAGAACTTCCAGGCTGTGATACTGAGTCCTGGGCCAGATAAAGAAATCTAGGACAGCAGCAGCAGCACAAAGGTGGCTTTTTATAGCACTTGTTAATGTTTCTGCTGAAATAGCACCTATAATATTAGAAAAGTAAAGCTCTAAGAATAAAGCATTATTGATTTGCCATTTCCAGGCTTTTCATAGAAATTAGACTTAATGATGATAAACCTGCAACACCTGAATGTAAAAATTTCTAGGCTCAACTATGTCTAAAGTTTGAAAACGTGATATCTTGACCTTTTAAAGTATTTTAATACTACCTTTTAAATAAACAATATAAGCTTTGTTTTTTTAGGTAATTCTTAAGAAATTATAGATTGGAGTAATAAAAATTTGTATGTCATTCAATGCTTTTCTATCACCTTTTGCTAGGAATATATTGATTACCATATTGATACCACTAGGGTTAAACTATTGATTTAGTGTATTTACACTCATTATGGAATCTTTTTAATGTAATTTGGTTCAGTCAATTAGCAAGTGTAGGTGTGTGCCCAAAATATGTTAGATGAGGTGGGGCAGTGAGAATAAAGGCAGCGTTAGGTATGGGCCCTCTTCAAATGGCAGTTGTAATCTAAGTTGAGACAAGGCAGCCCCCAAAAAGATGTGGCATTGACTCAGCAATACCACTTCTACAGCCTAGAACAGTGCCTGGCACATAATAAAGGCTTAATAAATATTTGTTGAATGAATGAATTTATCCTATGGATACACTGGCACATTCCCATTCATTCATTTGAAGAAGTTTTATTGGCTTCACCTCTACCTCATTATCATTCTTGATGATTTAAATATCAAAGTAAATCTGTTTTCTGCCTCAGTCTTCCTAGCTCAGCAACCCAACTGTCCAAACCAAAAATCTAGGAATCTTTGATTTCTCTCTGTACTTTACTTCCTAGCCCCAAGCTCTGTTGGCTCTAACTCCAAATACACTCCAAATACTTCTCATGTCCACTCTCGCCACAGTTGTATAAGCCACCATCATCTCTCAAAGACCTTCCAATCTGGACTCCCCACTTGTACTCTTGTCCCCTTCCAAGTAATTTCTTATGTGACAGCCAGGGAAATTTAAACAAACAATGCCTAAAATGCCCTGATGGTTTTCTATTAAAATACTCCAGTAGCACTTAGAATAAAATCCAAACTTCTTGCTATGGCCTGCTCACAAAACTCTGAATGATCTTGCCCTGCTTGCATCTCCAGACTCATCTCAGAGCTCTCCATAGTGGACCACTCTTCAGTCACACTGGTATTTCGATTTCTCATTCCTACCTCAGGACCTTTGCACATGCTTCAGCCTGGAATGCCATTTCCCCAGCCAAGCTGGATCTCTCTCGTCCTTCAGACTGCTTAAGTATCACTTGCTTAGGAATCCTGACCACCCACCTCTCTACCTTGATTTTAACTGTTGAAGCGTTTTCACAGCAATAGATTATCTTATTTGCTTACTTGTTCCCCAAACCCCTCCGTTTACCAGTGTGGCAGCATGTAAGCTCCATAATAGCCAGGGGCTTTCTTCTAGTCTCTGCTCTCTCTCCAGTGCCTGGAACAGTGACTGGCACATAATAGATCATCAAATACATTTTCAGTGTTGGAAATAATCATCATGAATGTGTTGTATTCTGTGAGGAGCTCCACATTGTTAGAGGAATGTGTAGAACTCAATTAGGGCAAGGGAAGGAGAGTTATAGTTATCTGTAATATGAAACTGATGAAATAAGATTTTGAAAACAAGGCTCACAAGTAGCATTAATCTCTATTTGGGGACATACTAAGTTTGAGATGTCTATATGACATCTACGGGGATATGTCAAATAGGCAATCTGAGATTCGACTATAAAACTCAGGGATGAAGTCAGAGCTGGAAAGTTAAATTTGGTAACGTTAACATATAGATGATATTTAAAGCAGGGGACCAGATGAGGAGCCCTCAGGAAAGACTGTAGAGAAAGAAGAGGACTATACCAAACCCCTCAGGCATGTGAGCATTTGGAGGTAAGACAGAAGAGGAAGGACCAGAAAAAAGAAATTGAGAATGAATGATCAATGATGTGGAAGAAAAAGAGAGGCTATGAGTT